CGGTAGAGCAGTGAGAGTGTGCTTAGCGAGAGTCACACTATATGGTTTGTTAGGGATTCATTAGCAGTAGGATCATATTACAATTTAACACCTCCAGGTAAATTTCTAAGAAATTAATTAAAATTCTAAGAAATCTATTGTTAACTGACACGCCGGCGTGTCCGCGGTCGTGGAGGGAATATGTATGTACTTTTATTAAGATTGTATTTTTTACTTACACAAAAAATGATACATAAAGTAATAAAAATTAAAGCAAATAAAAAAATACAATAAAAAATTTATTAATAAAAATAAATAAGCCGCCATGTTTTCAATAACCATGAAATACATATATGTAATATAACTATACTTTCGTATCTTAAAAAAGGTTAAAACAGTTTGTAAAAACTCAGATAAATAAACATGGCCTCTAAAATTACAGGATTTGAACAAAAATCGAGCCTGCGACTATAGCTTATTATAGACGTAAACACGATTTCTCCTTAATACTTACGATCATTATTACAGCCATATATTTTTGTACATAAACATTTAACAGAATATTTAAATTTGATGATCTAACATTATAAAAGTTCTAAATACTGGCGACACCAAAAATCGATTAGCTGCGCTTGCGCCGGTGACTTTACACGATATTTAGAGTGGAATTGAATGTTCACTTGATTAGAACATGGATTTACGTTTATAAGTAAACAATGGCGCATAATCGTGGACATAAAAACTGATAGCCAATAATGTCTTTAGAACACTTTTATCTTAGAGTAAGGAGGTGTAATCAGGATTGGTAAAGACATGGAACAGTGGATACCATTCACGGTGTATACCTTATAGGGCGAGAATTTTCATGATATTGCGTTACAATAGAACCTATTCAATTTCTTCTTCTTCTTCTTCTCCCTGCCCTTTTCCAAACACTTGGGGTCGGTGCAGTAGATCTTACGTACTGCTGATAGGATTTAGCAAAAGTTTGACGACCGGCCGCCTTCCTGACATCAACCCTCCTTGGGAATGCTATTGTTTTCAATTCAAGAACCTATTCAATAAGAATTTTCTAAAATGTTTATAAAAATAACACTACTAATACGCCCTCATTTCGTTTATACATCATATATTTCATATTTCCGGGGTAAGTCTTTCTCTATATATTTTATCTATATACATATGAATAGGCAAAAACAAAACGGTTCAGTACCTTTTCCTCCTCTGTTTGTCAATATATTTTCTTTTCTTTTGTTTAGTAGCCATCGACGAGCTTTATCTTTATTGTTATATATATATATATATATATATATATATATATATATATATATATATATATAGGTAAATTACATTTATATATTACTTTCCTCAAATTTACATTGGTTATAATAAATGCATCACAAATTTATAATTAAAGTCAGCTGTTCATTTGCTTTCTGACCGACTTTTAAAAGAATTATGTTAATTATATCTTCGCTAATTATGAACTGATTGTTATAATACTTTAAAAAAAAAGACAAGTTAAATTCTAATATCTTATGGAATTTCAAAAAAACACCATAAGGATGGCATAAGTACTTTTAAAGTGTTTTCGAAGTTAGTTCCCCTTACTTTTAGTTAGAAAGTAATTATTTTCAAAGCATATTTCAACTTAACAATGGCTCTATGAAGAAATATTATGACATCATGAAAATTCAAATACCAGTATTTAGACATGTGACTCTATTTATGATTTATTGCCATACAGACCTCCATTGTGTGTCAAATAGGTCGAACAATACTTCGTGTTAGTTTTAGTGCTTTTGCAAGAATGCCTTTACTCATTAGATACTAAGCGTGTTAAATTTATTGTTGTTTGTATTACTTTTATAACATCGACTAAAATATGTTAAAATTTAATGTATGCAAGATAAATATGATGAAAATATTTATCACGATTGATTCATTCACTTTTTTATTAGAAAACGCCATCGATTTTGTACCATAATCATATTTAAAATAATATGTTTAATAACTAGTAACCACTAGAATCACTGTTAGAAATCATATATGTAGAGATGTAGAGTTATAAAATGTTTTGTCACGCAGTTTATAATTTGTAATAATCTTTATACATTTAGTTTTTTAAAGTTTTATAATTAATATATATATTTTTAATGTATATATGTTATGGGCCTCTGTTTACATATTTAAGATCCTTTTGTAAATATTGCCTGAAATAACTGATTAAATAAATAAAAAATAAAATAAATATACAAAAATTTCATAATTCCGTATGTACGTATGTATAACTACAGTCAAAAGAACAACTTTTGTAAAGTTCTTTAATACAAGTAAAAATAAGATAGATATATAATTTATCAAAGTTTGAGATCGTCACCCAACACACTTGTTCATTTAAAGTAAATAATTCATCCAATTTAGGTGGCTTCATATATTTACAAAAAATATATGTACAAGCACATTACATAGAGTAATAAAATGTTTTTTTCCAACATCGTGGAAAGGGTTAACGGTACGAGTATTAACATCCTGCATTTTACTTAAATATATAATTTAAGTCAAGATTCCTTACAGTCCTGCACTTGGCTACTCACTGACTGACTCAGGTATGACGAAGAGGATGATTCACAAATTCCAGTGACACAGCTAACTCGAAAACTTAGGTTGTTGCCCGATGGACAAAGGCCTTTATTTTAATGCCATATGAGGTTACGAGTAACTGAGATGAAATTGATTTGTTTTGCTTGATTATGTTTGAGTGTTGAATTTATAGTTATTTTTGAGCTTCGTGTAACATATTCGAACTCATAAATGCGATTTCCACTATTCATATACTTTAGCAAGAAAAATTCTATGCGTTTGCAACAAAAAGGTTAGGCAAACGTTGCTATTCAGAAAAACTTTGCTTCATTCAGGGATTGAACCCACTACCTCTAAAAATATTTCTTACATAATATGTTATTCTAGTATATCCAAATTCTTTTAATTTCACCAATAAACAAACAACGGGGAATTTTTCATCGGGCAACATTAGTTAGCTATTACATCGTTTCATAAAAATAGGATATTTATAGCATCTATTTCTTGACTTGGTTTAGACGACTGAAATCAATATCTATACCAATAATATAAAACTGACGAGAATGTTTATTTTTTTTTACTGGAGCATAGTTTTTATTGAAGGCCTAAATCTCTGAGTCTCTGTATAGTAAAAGTCAGATTTAAAAGCTTAAGATATTGATAGATTTTTTACTGCTTTCGAAATTTCAATGTAAGAGTATCTTCACAGAAGAATCATTCATTATTATCAATCTCTATTAATTCCTCTGAAACCCGACAAACTCCATTACAAGTCGATAAAACAGTGCAACATGTACAAAGAAACATATTTAAAACAAAAAAAATAGTTTTTATATTTTATTATAATAGATAATTCATTGTTATAGATTATAATAAATTGTTTATTTCCTAAAGTAAGCGGTATAAGTCCATATCCGCCAGATGCTCAACAACTAGCGTTGTAAGTTTGTTTGTTTGTTATTAAGTTTAACGCGCACGCGCAGATGCATCTATTTTTATTCTATTTAATTATATTTATATAGGGTTGCCTATTGCTTTTATTATAATTCGTTGAAAACTAAAAAAACACTAACCTATACGTAATTACTCAACATTTGGACATGATTTTTTAAAATTTTATGCGATTTATATGGGACCATCACCAACTAGCCAGTTAGAAAAGTCGATTTGCAACTAGGGATATCACGTAACATACACGAAAATACATTCACCCAAATAGAATATTACCTGTTTTTTTAGTGTAGAGGTGCATTTAAAATTTGCAATTTTGTAGTTCGAACAAAGGTAAATCTAACTTGACCCTACAGAGTTTTGGATATACTCGTATATACTTTAATTAATTTGTTAATATCTAATATTGAGACATCAGATTGAATTGAGTTATGAATAAAAATAATAATTCAAGCCCTCTTAACATCCCCAAGTAGGCAAGAGTAGCCCAGTGGTTACCCACTCGCTTAGGAAACCCAGTGAAGCGGGTTCAAATACTAGTCTCGCACTTCTAATATTTTCATAATAATGCGAATTATTTCCACCATGATCTCTATCTATGATATCTAACGTTAGAAAGGGCTGAATAAATAACATCCTAAGGCTTTTTTCGAAATCTATTCTGACACACAGTCTTTTTTGTTTCCTTATGATATCTTTCTTTACAGTATTAGCAAGAGTTGCTGAAAATTATTTAAACTGAATTTCAGTACTAGCTATTTATTTAATTAAACAACCATATAAGGTAGCTTCAATGTTAACATAAGTGTGGGGTTGTTTATGGTAACATACAAACTATCGAATTTCTAAGTTTATAAACTATTTTTGGCTTCAGGGCGTGATCTTTCAAGAATTGCCCTTACTTATAAAGGATGTTATGATCATAAAACGTTGACATTAGCATTCTGTTATGAAACATTGTCGGATAAGTTCATTAAACTCTGCTAAATTATTGATTTGTTATATTGCAGTTTACTAAGAAATTGTAGGGCTCTTGCGGTGTTTCTGCGAACTGGCCTATTAATAAATCTCTACTAATATGATTAAGAAAGTGTATGTATGTTTGTTCGATGAAGTTTTATGTGTATAAAATATCGTGGTTTATTTTATATAGATAAAACAGCCGTTTTGTTACTTATTAAATATTAACGGTAAAAAAATTATGTATAAACCATAACTTTGTCTTGTTTTTTTTAATACATGCAGTTAGTACAAATAAAATCTATAAATATATAATTGATACATCTCTAATTATCTTTTAACTAATAGAAATTCTACGGAATACACTTTATCGGAACTAAAAGTGGACTGTTACTTCACTGGACTATTTAACAATTTCTCTGCAGTTTTATCGCTGCAGTAAAGGATAAATCAACAAACACATTTTAGCATTTATAATATTATACGATATAAAATGATATTTATATTCTATTATCTTTTTGTGACAGGCCTGTGCTCCACGCTACGTATCGTATGTGACGGCCAAACTCAACCAACGCGACCCTGTGGGATCCTGCTTCGTCGCTAAAACCTCCACTGCCGATGAGGTCAACGAATTCTCGCCCTGTCGAAACTGTAAGTATTTAAGTTAACTATATTCATATAAAATTAATTTTTTTTTATTAAAATTAATATTATAGTAATAGGTAATTGGTACTTAAAATTAAAATAGGTAGTTATAATATTAAAAAGCTGGTAAGTTTAATGGTTAATAGTCATAAGTAATCTGTATCACAACCGGAAGTATATTTAAATATAGCCTTACAACGGTAAAAGCGCGCCAAAATGCACGTCACTTCCTCCGGTAATGGCGGATCGAGAGGGAAATTAGCGTGACGCGAGCCCGCGGCGCCGACACTTTGATTTATTATTAGGCTTACACCATGAAGAATTTATTAAATTTAAGATTTATTTAAATAAAAAATTAAAAAATATATACCTATCATATATTTTTACTTTTGAAAGCAATGAAAAACATTTTAATGACAGCTAATAAATAAATAGGTTGAGAATTTACAGTTCAAGCTCGACATATTTTATATTAAGGTATTATATTATTTACTGTGTTTTTTTATTTTTTTATAATAAAAAAATTTAACCTTTTTTTTTAATAATATACGAAATACTTACTATTATATGATTTATATTTTTAGAACATGTTACATATAATAAAATGTAGCTAGTAATTATGTACTTTGTTTAGGGGTCCGTACACAGGAAGAGGGTATGTATTTAAGTAGATGATGCACTCGTAGGGAAGTTTTTCACTTATTATTTTATTATTTATATCAATTATATTTTAAATCTATGTACATTTGTATATTTTATAAATATTTTTGTATAATCTGTCGGTACTTGTATATATGAGATTACAGATTATACACTGTTAACTTATTAGAAGTGTCGATGTTAGATGAAGATTTTTTTTATTATTATCTCAACTAGCATGCTTACAAACTATTAATATATAAAGGTTTTAATATATGTAAAGTGTAGAGAAACTAAATTTAAGAATTATATTTAGTTAACATTACAAATAAATATTTGTGTTATACAAATTGCTATTGATATAGATATTTTTTAAGTGAGAGACAACTTATTATCAAAATTGTGCATAATTAATAATTAACTTGCAACATTATTTCACTTTGATACTTTAAAAGATTTTGCCTTGAAGAATAAACTTTGTAATACGCGTCACATATAGACAATAAATAAAAATATAAGTTAAACCGAATAAGTGTAGCTGCGTTATATTAGTATATAGTATATTTGGTAATAAAATAACAATATATACATATTTAATTTATTATATTGCATGTATGTATGTGTAAATATATGTATAATCGCAAAATGAAATGTATTATACACAAAATAGGTATTTATTATATAAAATGAATAATTTCCTATTTGTATCTAAGAGGATTAAATTATAATTCCTAATATTCTCAATAACGGTTTATATTAAATAAAATCGTCCGGCTTTGTTCGATTAATTTATGAATATAATTATGTTCATAGATATTAAAGTACAATATTAAAGTACAAAAAAATCGTAAGTTCTGTTTGTTTCAATAAAAAGTAAAAAAAAAAACAAAAAGTAGAATTTGTCCAAAAAATTAAGAAACAGTAAAACCTAAAATTTTGCAACTAAATACAAGAAATGCCGATAGAACAATTTTAACAGAAGTGTTTAGACACTGACACTTGAGTGCTCTTGTCATTTACTGGAAAATATTAAAAATGTCGTAATTTGAATTATTACCGTGACATTCAGTAAAATGATTGTAGAAAGCGATATTCAATTAGTTTTACGATTTCAGCGAGCCACGGGCAGCGCAAGACGGGCGTGTGTCAAGCAGGTTTTTCTGCGGCAGTCTCAAAGGTGAGTTAAACGTATTGTAATAACACTAATCGTGTAAGACCAGTATTATATTGTCGACTTTAAATGTTCGAATTTCGGATCCTTTTGTGTTTGGTTTTTTCTCTCTTTAAGATTTATTGTACTTTGAATATATATATGTAAGTGAGGTTTTATTAGTCATTAACGTGGTTTGTAAAAATGGCTTATAAGCTTTTAAAAATACTGCAGATTATTCCTGTACACTTAAGACATAATTATGGAGATAAAAAAGTAAATATACTGTGGCAAGGTATATATCATATTATGTTTGAACTCAACCATAAAAGTATAGAATTTAAAATCGATTCAAAATAAAATCAACAAAATTAATTAAAATGACACTATTGTTTAGAAATTAGAAATCGTCTAATAACGTTCCATCGTTATCTTAGCGTTTCAAATCTCGATTAAGCGCTCCTTTTAAAGGCAGTATCGATTCGATCAACTTAGATGAGGACGTAAGATTTATATATATTTCGAAAATGGTAAAATCGATACTCGTTACGCGGATTTGAGATAACAACTCGAAACATTATAGCAGATAAAATATATTTATTACTGGCCAGTTATATCATGTTAAACCACAAGATCCAATATCATATATTATATATAAAATAGTAAATTAAATCGATATTTCTCTTAAAGAAAAAACTACAATAAATCTTTTGTCAAGGTTTAAAAAACTAAATGAAGACAACATCGATAAAAACGAATAATAATATTTTCTACGAAAAAAAGAATATTTTCGGTAAATTTGCAAAAAGACCATTTTTGTGAACGACATCGTGCTATTACAATCGTGGGAATAGCATTATTTTTACCGTGTTGAATTATCATCGAGATCGCATCGGTCGTACGTGACGAGAATGCCCGCGCCGCCCTTATGAATTATTAAAACTTATATTGTTGCCATCGCAAAAAATATAATAAAACCGGACGATTTCTATTCCAAAAATAGGAGGTAATATCGCGAATTGTTCTTGGTTTTATGGTTCTCTCTGTTTGGAGTTTGTTTATAGCTGTATGAATGACGGCTTGACGTATTTGTCGTTATGTTGTTGTGCTGAGATGGGTCTTCATTCAAGCTTAGTTTATGTCTTTGATATTGGTTTAGATTAGATATAATAATAGCACAATAACGAATTGTTGACACTTTATTGTATTAAAGACTAGCGACTCACCCTCGCTCCGCTCGGGTTCGTCCCTAGGTACTTATTGATGGTTAGTATAAATTTCTCAGATACGAAATGTTTTTGCTCAGTAAAAACTAAAAAGTCTCCTTATAAATATGTTGTCCCGGATAACCAGCTATCGTCATACCGAATTCCATCAAAACCTGTCTAGTGGTTTTCTCATATTGCGTTCTCAAATAAACCGACAGACAGACAAAAATTCTAAAAACTATACATTCGGCCTATGTATCGATAATAATGATTATTTAATAAAAAAAATTATATAATAATATGTAATGTACAGATTCGACTGAGTTAGAATTTTATTATATGTATAGATTGGAAAATCAAATGAAGCGGGTTCAAACCACGAAACTCGCGCTTTTGATATTTTCACATACAATAATTTTCAATATGGTTAGAGCAACCGTGTAGGAAAATATTGCGAGAAAACCTCCATGTCTGAGAGAAACCAACTAGTTTCCAAAGGACGTGTGAAGTGAAGAGACCATCAGTGGGACGTTAAAAGGGCTGAATTATTAATTATTATTATTTCTAAGAAACATATTATTTAAAACACTTGAAGGCTATTAAAAAAATTAACATAACATTTTACGTATATATGTAATAGGTACATATCTTTTTGTATAATTAATAAAACTCACAGTTTGTTACTAAACAGGTACTATATATTCTAATCATAAATACGATCAAAATTAATTTCCACTATTCACAGAATAGTCTCCCAAAAATGTCAACCAAAGGTGACAAAGAGTCGTGCGTGACGAACCTTTTTTGCCAAAGTTTTTTTTAATCGAGCCTAATTTGAAACAAGACCTGAATATTAAATTTGTAAATTTTATGGGATATCTTTATTTGTAATTTATTTTTATTTACATACATAGCATGTAACTCATTTCAAGAATATATGCAAATTAATAAATAGGTAGCGGCTCATCCTCATTTCGTTCGTGTTCGCCTCTGGAGAAAAAACGAATCTATCCCACGGGAATCGTACGTTTTCAGGGATAAAAAGTATCTTAATGTATGAGCTATATTATTGTAAAGTTTCATTAAAATCCATTCAGTAGTTTTTGCGTGAATGTGTAACAAACATCCATACATCTATACATCCAGATAAAATTTCGCATTTATAATATTAGTAGGATTTACATAATATGCCGATAGGTAATAAAAAATGAAGAATACAAAGTACTTTAAATCCGATTAGGATATCTAAATGAATTACCATATTAAAATATTTGTGATTAAATTATTTTGTATTCATACTTACCTACGTCTAACATTATCCATAAATCTCCGCACTCGCAAAAGCGAGATGAGATCTTTTCGACGAATAGAGCTATAGATACCGCATGCATACTCGTAAATCCTCGGAATCAGCGTCCGCGTCGTGTAAACTAAGATGCTACGTGATTCTTTTACTAAGATCTATTTTATAGAAACCATAAACAACTGTTGAGCAATATCCTAAATACACTAGCAAAATGGCTCGAAAGATGTGTGGATTCCGCCAACCCGCACTTGGCGAGCGTGGTGGACAATGGTCCTATGGACTTGGTCACCTCGCATTAAAAGGTCGCACAAGCCAAGTGGGATCTTAAAAAGGGCTGAATACATACATACGTTTTATGAACCGTTTCTCAACTTAGAGACTTATAGGGGAATAACCTTCTAAAATGAAGGATTGGCAAAGTATTTATGAATGGGTATAGTATAACGGGTTCGATATACTAAAAATATTTGAAAGCAGCTACATTGACACTATAAGATGATATTCAGCTGTTGTATGACTGAGTGACTGATTGATGTTTTTGTCTAGCATTTTGCTACTTCCTCGAGACTAAAAGCTGACAAGCGATAAGTGATTGAGTGATGGAAGTCATAGAGCAAGATTTATTTTACTTTATTAGATATGCTTAGTTTTTGATTTCTATTTGTTAGGTTCAGATTATAGAATTATCCATTTATAAATAATGACTTATAATAATAAAAATTTTAAACGACGGAGAACTTTGCTGTTTTCACGATCACTCTAATATGGGTAAAGTGATAGTCTACATGGAGTTGGACTTTAAAAATTCGAACATTTTATAAATATAATCTGTAGTAATATTATACTCGTAAATGGAAAAGTTTGTGTGGGTTTATACTATATGGATGTATAGATGTTTCGATGTTTGTTACTCTTTCACACTAAAATTACTGAATGGATTTTAATGAAACTTTACAATAATATAGCTCATACATCAGAATAACACATAGGCTACTTTTTATCTCGGAAAAATGTACGGTTCCCGCAGGATAGTTTTATTTTTGTTTTTCTATTTGTTTAGCTAGTCTATACTAATATTATAAAGAGGTAAAGTTATAAAGAGGAAGAGGTAATATTATAAAGAGGTAATATATACTCGTAACATGGGTATATAATTTCATCAATACATACAAGTAGTGCAATAGACTCAAATCTTTGCAATAAATTCGATTAGATGTAAAGTGAACTCAATTGTTTTATTACTATTCATTGGTACAACTTGTTGTTTCGCGAGCAGATATTATTTGCTCGTTTCTTCATAATATAAGGTTACAATTTCTTGAAAAATGAAAATAATATTTCTGTCTTTTTTTAAATCATACGAAAGATATGGTATATCAGGTCACAGGTTCAATCCCAGAGTTAGGCCAGTACATGCCAAGAGCCCAATATGTAATTAATTTTTTAATCGTATGTACAAAAGGGAATTGTTATATTCACACTTTTCCCTATTAATAGGTAGAAACTTACTATACTATATAGTTATCGATAATAGAAAAGCTGTAAAAGTCTGGTTGTATTACATAATCTAAGCTTCAAGTAATTTTTTTTTGTTTTCTACTGACGATATACACCCTTAAAGGGATGTGGATCTACATATAAATAGACATGGACTGTTCAGCACTTTTTTCTCCTCTGCTTATCATTCCATTTTTTTTTGTAGCTATTGAAGAGCATTTAGTTTTCAACAACTGGACCGACACTAGTATAAATAAATGTATATAATATATTGCCCCTCTTAGTTCGTCAAATAATACAAAATAAATTTATTATTAAAATTTCGCTCTACGTGCCCACAGTATAGATTTAATGTAATCATCCGCCATATCCGCCACTATCATATATGGATGGCCGCCTAACCCTTTGTATTTTGTTTTATTTTTTAGCCATTTTCCTATGCAAAACAAAATTCCTTGTCATTGAAACGTCTTAAACATTCTTTGTGAGTTTACATACATGGTTTCGGAACGTAGCCGTAAACGGCAGCCATTTACAGACAATGGTGTCGGCGGGAAAAGCGATACGCCTTGCAAAATTGAATCGCAGACATGTAGAGATTTGTCCGAATAATTGTTTTATGTATACGATAAACATATTTGGGGGTGTATGTGTATTTGGGTTGGTTCGTAACAATGTAATGTAAATTCTTTTGAGTCTTTGGAATTTGGGATATTTTCGATCTGACACACCAGCTACATAGCTATTAAACTCGTTATTAGATTGGAAGTCTGTGTGTTGTGTAAGTTAAAAGTAATTCCTTTTGGTGTATTAAAGACCAGTATAGTAATATGAAAGATAATCTACACTTAATATTATAAAGAGTAAAGATTTGTATTTTTGTATGTTTGTAACGAATAAACTCAAAAACTACTGGACTGATTTAGATGAAATTTGGTAAGAAGATAGTTTGAAACACTGGGAAGGACATAGGACATTATTTCTGCTGTCTGATTAGAAATCACTGGTTAAAACTGCACCTTTTATATGAATATTCATGCCTGCATTTAACAATTGTAGAGTTTTTGTTAACTGCGACCCTACGGTGAGTTATGGCGTTTTAAATGCTGCCAATATTTATGGGCTAATGGAATATTCAATTATTCGCGGTAACCTGTTGAGTTTAACGTGTTCTATGAATTATTTTAGTTGCAAGTGAATACTTGTTGTTTTATTTATAAGGATGCAGCTTAAGGCGCCATACGTTCTACAATTTTTCATGGGAGGGCAGGATATCTTCCCGCCCACTAAGTTACGCGTTGACGAATTTGACTAGCATTTGTCTGTTTTAAACTGCATATAATTTTATTTACTTCCTCATTTATTTTCAGGCAATATTTACAAAAAGAACTTAAATATGTAAACAGCTGTAATATATATACCTTAAAAACTAACACATTATATTAATTTTAAAACTTAAAAAACTATTTAACACGTGTTTATTATACCTAACTTTTGTTTCGTTTCATACTATATTTACTGGATATTACCAGAAAAGGTCAAAGTGGGTCTTATAATTTGTTAATAGCAAGACTGGATATCTACGTACTACGTATAATTTCTATCACACGTAACCCAAGCGCAGAAAACATGGTGACTTAAATTTAGGCATACGTACTACGACATTGAGGGTAAAGAAAGGGTTAATAATAACATATAAATGATGTTCTCCTCCTAGCCGATTCCGGCTACGGCGGCCAATCTCATTGAGACTAGCCAACTGCGCAGGAGATAATATAGTGCTCAAGTGTACGCGCAGACACAACGTGCACTCTCTATTCCTATCACTCTCATACTCCGGTGGGATGACTGCTCGACACGACCGGTGAGAGTTAAGGCGCAGGACCGACGGCTTTACGTGCTCTCCGAGGCACGGGGGTGAAACACCGCCAACTTCCCAACTCCGGGCTGTTACTGAGACTTACTATACAGAAAGACTCAATAACTAAACTTTGGCCCGACCCGGGACTTGAACCCAGGACCTCCGGGTGTGCAGCTGTACATGCAGGCACTACACCACCGAGGCAGTTTAACATATAAATACATACTTAATAAAGATATAATACGATAAGAATACTACCAGCGTTTATAATTGTCCAAATCAATTCACTCCAACAACTTACAACTTTACGTCTCATTATGTATAAAAAGTTGCGAAACTCAACTCCATAAAACTTCGATTTGACATTCTGCCCCCACGTGACAGCGCCGAAAGAAGGCGTGCGCCCGCGCAGAGCTTGTCGCTCTTTATATGGCGTGACGCGGCGTACGCGAATATTTATTTATCGGCCAGCAGGCGCCCGCACATGCTGCTCCCATACCATCGTGTATTTAAAAGTACCTTCACATTTTCCTATTATTATATCAATAAAGAATATCGTGCTTAATTCATCTATAATAATATTATAAAGAGGAAAGATTTTTTGTTTGTTTCGTTGTTTGTTTGTATCGAATAAGCTCCGAAACAACTAAACCGATTTAGATGAAATTTGGTAAAAAGATAGTTTGAGACCCTGGAAACTACTACTACACGTTTTCTGTAATGAATTTTTTGAATTAATAATACTTGAAACATGATATTTAACATATTTTTCATACTAATTATTTTAAAATTACGAGGTTCTTACTAAACAAAATGCACAACAAAGCACATTTGGCTATGCTACAATTGTGGATCGAATAGTGGTTAATATTTTTTTTGACTCATTTTAAAAATAAGTATTTCACCCTTGGTGATGGAATTTTTTCATCCATATTTATATATTCATATGAATTTGGGATCAAACTTGTATAAACTATTAATTTGAAAATTCTCTGTAATCATAAAAATACGGTCGAAACAAATATTTCTACAAAAAGCTCTATCCATTCGTTAAAATTTCAAAAGTCAGTAGATTTATATATTATCTGTTAATTTAAATTTATATAAGCAGTAACATCTAAACAACGATGAAAATTATAATATTATCAGAAAAGAATTCTAATTTTCGTCTCAAAACTTATGGTATCTCAAGAGGCGAGTAACAAATCATTACATATGTTAACAGTACAGTTTTTGTGCTGCAACTATCTCGCGTTCACACGACTTGGGTGCGTCTGCATATTGTCCGATAAGCTAATGGCTTGACGAGCGTACGATGAGTTCATTTTGTAAGATATTAATGGAATTATTGCTAAACAATTTTAAATTTTATAGCTAAAAACTATATCTTTTATAATCCATACTATTACATATAATAAATGCGAAAGTCTGTCTGTCTGTTACTTTTTAACGTTTAATCCGCTGAACCGATTTAGATGAAATTTGGAGATAGTTTAAGACCCTGGGAAGGTAAGAGGATAATTTTAAATCCCAGAAATTACCTCCCTTAAGGAGGTAAAAATCATTTTCCAAGCAATGCATATTATTTTAAGCATATACTTATCTACTTTTCTATATCTAGGTATATACGTATAATCTATTTATTCCATACTAACAGTTAAAACGTACCTAGGGACAAACTCGAGGGCTAGTCGCTAGCTTTCTATAAGTTTATATCTGCTAGTCTTAACACTAGCTGTTTTGTATCTAAATGAAACTTTATATTTTTTTAAATGTTTAAAAATATTCACTTACAAAACATTGTAAACTATGAGAGTTAAAAGCCTTAGTTTTTTAGCTCCCTTAGTTTTTAGCTCTACATCTAATAGGATTGATGCTGTTAATGTCTTCTCTACACTTAACATTTACATATATCCACTTAAATTATCATGCACTCTGAAAGAATTCAAAGGAAGCTAGTATAAGTGCGCTTCACACATATACAAATCAATTTTATCTCGACAAAAATAATTATAGCTGTAACCACCCCTTAAATTACGATAAGAATAAGTACGTAGTAGCACACTATCTCTTTTAAAATATTTTAATAGAGTGCGGGTATAAACTTTTAAGTACAGGCATCGATGTACAGTTGTTATTATAAAACTTGTTAATAATAGATAAATATAATATTCTATTTTAGGAATTATGTTGTAGAGTCCAATCTATTTTAGTTTTAAATTAATATTATAATTTTTAATGTGTTATTAAAATTAAATACTGGTTAAAGGCTTTTCTTACGCTTTTTTTTCGATGGCAACATTTTTGTCCAGAGGGCCAAGTTAGCCAAGTTGACTATCTGTAATCGTTAACGATTTAGTAAACTAAGGAAATGTATGCATTGTCGCTTTTCTACACTAGTTATCGAATAGAAATCTTAAAAAATATTATATTGCTATTATCATTTCTATACAAAGTGTTTAACTTTCTATTTGTCGATAAGTGCTTGTAGTAGGAATACCTCTTCTAATCTCCCAGTACAAATTATGGTTATTTTTTATATTATTTTAAAATAAATTATTATTCTTGATAGGTATAGTATATCAGTATCATAAAGATTCCTAGTAAATCCATACTAATATTATAAATGTGAAAGTGTGTTTGTTTGTTCGTCCTTCTTTCACGTCGAAACACAGTGACGGATTTGTATGTACATCAGTAATTTTTTGTTGAATGGAATGGTTGGAGGGCTGGAGAGTGACATAGGCTACTTTTTACCGCGGGAGATTATGTCATTTCCACAGGAAAACACAATATAATACAACCGAAAAAAATATTTATAATCAGAATAGCTTGAAACTTAGAATTAATGCTCTTCAATATAATTAAATAAATACGTGTTTTAGCATTTTTCGAAATTCATCCCATAAGGGAGTAAAATATGGGATGAAAGTTTGCATGAAACCCACCTGTTTAGAGGATTTTTTACAGTTCGGCCACTAATTTATATTTTTCTTTTCTAATATTAATGATATTTTATGATTTCAGGATGGACAAAGATTATTTATGGGAGCACCGGGCAGCTTCTACTGGCAAGGTTAGTTGCAAAGAAAATTATGAATTTAAGTAATATTATTAGTATCTAAAGATACAAGAAAAATTGTATTTAATAAATATCCTGTATTTTGAAAATTGTATAATTGTATTTGTTATAGAAAGTGTTATTTCTTTAGCAAATAATATAATGTGAACGTTACGTCATGTTAGTGTAAAATTCTCAATATTTAATAACAATCCACAGGGCGAACATTTTCGATAGACCCTAGCGCAAGGTTCAACCACTATATGCCGAAGGAAGGTAAAAACAAACGTATCGCCAGATTGCCCTCGTAACTCTTAACCAGATAACCTAGGCTTTGAAGCATAATCCTACAAATATAAGGGCTAAACACTAGACAGTCACATGGAAGATGTTTAATTCTTATTTAGTCCGATCGAGAACAATTGAATATACCTAATAACAAAAAGTCAAAATTCTTACATTTTATATGGCCTTTTCAAAATATCCCAGTCTGAATCAAATGGTTGTGTACTATAATATTTTAGTAAATATATATTTTTAATTATAAAGAATGACAAAGATTTTTTAATTGTATTTCAAAAGATAATTTTAAAAAACTAACTAAGCAAAAATACCTACCAAGTTCTCGTCATTGATGTAATAGTGAGTTAAATTCGAGATCTAAATAAGAATTAATAGGACTTCAATGCTCATTTATATTTGCTGATAGTCACCAAATGGATGCGCACATCAGCAGTATGAGTAGATAAGTCATTAGCTTCTCATGTCATATCTGTCGTATCTATAGATTCCCTGTTTCATAGATTAGAATTAGACGTCCTAGCACGAAAATTAAAATTCAGATTTTCATGAATGTTTCGCAATCCATATTTTATGTCGTTGTGCTAACTCAAAGCACGAGAATAATCTTATAAATTCATTCAAATCTGATCTGTACATTATATCCTATTTCATCATGTTCCTATTACATTCTCTTTCGGATGCACATTTTTCAATATAAAATTATGTACAGAAACAAAAAAATAGTAATAATGAAGTATATTCGACTAATAAAATTGCAAGACCTCCAAAATAATTATAATCCGGGCAGGTGTAAGATCGGATGAGAAATTACTTATAAAAGGGATTAAGAGGTTTCTATTAACGCTTCAAATAAACGCCCAATGCTTTTTAAACTAATTAAATACGTTAAAGTTCACCCCATTGGCTTCAAAATTAATTTGGTCGCTTAAACAATTTGGTGGTTCTTAACATACTCGGAAATCCCTTTTAATTAAGGTGTGATTTTATGTGTACATTACATATAAGTGTCAAAAGTGTTTTTTTATAAAATTGACATTTTATAGAGTGTAAAATATTGGCAAGAAAATGTTTTATTATTGTTTTCATAATGAACGTAAATAATCACTACATTCAATGAATATCATGCATTTTAAGAGTTTTATATCAAGTTTCATATTTTGCTGGTTTACAGAAAATGACTTTCTACAATAGCTAACTCAAAAAGATAACTAAACATTGTAAGGAAATCACACACAAATAGTTATAATACCTCATATTACTTATTAGTATTAAATAATGTGTAACTTGGTATACGACTCTACTTATAATTCTATTTTTGAACGATTTAATTTAATAATCTATTTTTTGATTATCACCCCTACCAGTGATAGAAATTTGACAGAAATTAGCGGTTACTTCAACTTTCTATATCTGATAGGCAAAACAATCGGAAGATAGGTTATTAATGTTAGCCGCAGGTGCTTTGAAAAATCATGATCATTGATGTAAAATTTAAGGCACATGATAATATTATAAATAATTTATAACATGTGTCTACTAACAATGCTATTTAACTTCAGCTTTGATGTTTTTAACGTATTTTTGTAATATTTGTTAGTGGACACAAGAAAATCTTGGTCTTTTCATCGTCATGGCTCAGATGCGTTGTATAAATATTCCCATTGAATGATCGTTCGTATGCTTGTTGTAACGCTGAACTTGGCGGTTGCACTGCCGCGTACCTAAACTATAGTGAAACAAAAAATGAAGCTTGTCAGTTATTATTATAAGTAATCCTAAAATCCACATATTAGCTTAATCCTTTCTTTATACCGTAATTTGTTGATTATCTAATTTAATATACCTTTTGATGGAAGAGTTGCTATCAATATGTAGATTTGAGGATAAAAAAGAAAAACGAGAAATGGTTTCTAATGTTTGATTCTCATTTTAGGTCAACTTAAAGTACAAACGTTAAACTCCAGACCAGTATTACTATCAACGCCTGAGGCGACTCCTAAGTACGATGACTCGTATATGGGATATTCTGTGACGGTCGGTGATTTCGCTGGCCAGGGTATTCAAAGTGTAGCTGTAGGTGTGCCTAGAGGATCTGACTTGCGAGGACTGGTAATTTTTTAGTGATTTCTTGTTTACTATCAATTTTTGACCCTATAAAGTTGTCTAGTTTAGCATTAAATATATTAATTCCTTATTTTAAAAAATTATCTCTAGGTCTAATCTAATCTATTCATGTTTTTAAATGTAAATTAAAAAATTATTTATTCTCACAAATGTAGACAATATCAATCAGTACCTTTCTCCATTTTCATATTTTATATATTAACTATGTATATGTATATATGTTTGTATGTATAAGTAGTCTTTACATCAGGTATTATATATTTTTGTATATATATATGTATATATGTATGTATGTATGTATGTATGTATAAGTGGTTATTATTACCTTTATTTCTAGTATATATTTAGTTTTTTTTTTTTTGCACTATATTGCCCGCTGATATCTTCTTCCACAACCAGGGTTGACTGGAAGAGATCTCTTTTAGAGATAAGTCCACCTTTGTGAACTATGTTTACTTTGTTATTTTTTTTTCTGTATCATATTTTAAGTGCAATAAAGAATATAATTTGTCACAAATCTTTCATATGATTTGTATTTCACCATATAATTTCTAAATATATGATATTTTAACAATGAAATTTACCGCTATAAATATCATACTTTAAGGTTTAACTACATTATTATATCTTTTAGGTGGTTCTATATACATGGGAGCTAGAAAATATAAAGAACATTAGTGGTTCCCAAATTGGTGCCTACTTCGGCTACAGTCTGGCAAGTGGAGACATTGATGGAGATGGTACTGATGATATCATTGTTGGTGCCCCCATGTTCACCAAACCGAAGAGCGATGGCTACGAGCATGGCAGAATTTATGTTATCTATCAGGGTCTGAATAGGGTAAGGAGATATGGTGATATTTTATTACTACTTTATAGACCTATGAATATTCTGTCCATACAAATTTCAAGAAAAAAATTCAACTGTGAAGGTGAGATTAGTTAGTGTTTAATTGATTTTTAGGTCCGTGAATCTTTTTTCGTTTAAAAGTATAGATAAGATTTTATTTTCCCCATTTTTTTTATAAAAACTTAAAATCTTTGCAGGCTTTCTCGAAGAATCACGCGAGAACTGGAGAAGTATCTAGAGGTAGATTCGGTTTAGCCATAACATCGCTTGGTGATATCAATTATGACGGATTTGGAGGTATGTATTGTAATGATATTGCATGTATAATAGAAATATAATAATAATATCATAAATGTCGGGAACCAAAAATCAAAATAAATGCCCAAAAAAATCCGAAAAGATAATTTTATATTATAAAATAGTAAAATAATCACATAATAGACATATAGAAATACACATATTTTAACACTAGGATGGTTTTAGTATACTAATGAAGAAGAAAATAACTTGGTAAATTAACCATTTAAAATTAAATCAAATAATATATCCTACTTCGTAAGCTAAACTTATTCTCTTGAGAAATAAAATCATCCTTTTATGTAATAATAATACGTATTTGTAGTTAAAGTACTATAAAAAAATCCAGATGTAGCCGTGGGTGCGCCGTACGGCGGTGAGAACGGCCGTGGTGTAGTCTACATCTATCACGGCAGTGAGCTCGGTATCGGAGAGAAGTACTCGCAAGCGATAACTGCTGAAGAGATCAGTCCGATTCTCACTACCTTCGGATTTTCACTCTCTGGAGGCGTGGATTTGGACAACAATAACTACACGGACTTAGCTGTCGGCGCTTACAAATCTGATAGTGTTGTGTTTTTGAAGTAAGTTTATTTTTTAATTTGGTAATTATTAGTAGACTTTCTGGTATCATAGTCTGTTTATTGCAACAATACAAAAAGAAGTAAAAATCTTAAATTGCGTTTGTACCTTTAGTCTTTCGTTAATCACTATTTTTTATTTACTGTAATTATGATATTCATTTTTCCGTAAATTTAATTTTATTACGAAATACCCTCTTTTTAAAACATGCAAAAAGGGTCATATTTTTTAAATGTTTGTGAGAAGTTTTAGAAAACAAAATATTTATAGTAACAATTTTTTCTTTACGTTCATAGATCTCGCCCAGTAGTTAAAGTGATGGCTGACGTCAAATTTATGGGAGAGAGCAAACTCATATCGCTGGATGAGAAGAGATGCACCCTCGCGAACGGCACGCAGGTGGCGTGCGCGCAGCTGATGTTCTGCCTCACGTATGACGGTGTTAATGTTGATCAACAAATAAGTAAGTGGCATAAAAATATCCATCTATATGTGCTACTAAAGCAATCACGAATTTAACTAGAGAAAGTCCTTGGAGTTTTTAAAATCTTTTCATTTAGTCTTTTTATAACATCCCACTGAGCGCGGGCCTCTCTTTAGTACGAGGGAGATGGCTAAGTGCGGGTTAGCGGACTTCATATCTTTTGAAAATTGCTAGGTTCTCTCAGACATGCAGGTTTCCACGCGATGTTTTCCTTCACCGTAAAACGAGTGGTAATCATATTGGAAATGATTCGCACATGAAAATATCAGAGGTGTGAGATCCGTGCAAGAGGTGTGAGGACTTGAACCCACTTCACTCGGTTTCCCAAGCGAACGCGTTACCACTGGGTTACCACTGCTCAAATGTATAAAGTCCTTAGAATTAGTTAAATACATACACATTTAAATAACAAAACAAAATATATAAAATTATTTATGGTTTTAAGGATTGTTTATAAATTAGGTATTTTCAAGGAATTTTATTTCTATGAAAAATTTGCTTATTTATTTTAAATATACTAAACAAGCTAGGTTTTTTTTTCTTGAATTGTTACAATGGTGTCTTCTTTTTTCCAAGCGGAAGGATATATTTGCTTTTTCGGTGAGTGGTTGAAGTAGAGAAAGATTGGCATTAAAAAAAACAAAATTATACACGATTTTATTATTAATAATTTTATTAATAATAAGATTATCATACATATGTAAATAAACCACTCATAGTAATTCAGTGTTAGATTTCACAAACTATCATCGCACTTTACCGCATGTAGCTGTTAGAAAATGTGTTAGATGTAAGTTTTTTAAGGGCAATCATAGTGTTTAATATCAATACGTAGATATACGTTATATCCGTTTTGATAGAATTATATATTTTTATCGGTTCTTTTCAAAGACCTAAAAGAACTAACTTAGAACGACTGTATAGAATTAGTTATATTTACTTTTATTACTATAATGGCTTGACAAAAAGGTACAGACAGCTATTTTGAAATCATTTAAAATAGAAAATAAACACATTTTAAAATAAATAATTGAACTCACCATACGAATTGAATGTTTTATTATTTCATTTTTATTCTTATTCATTAAAAAATCATAAAAATCGGTTTACAATTGAATCTTTTCAAGATATGTATTTTTTGGCTTGAAATTACCACAAATACTTTTAATATTATTACCTGTATGTTAATATTTTCTTTATTATTTATAGATTTCGAAGTAACCCTCGACTTAGACTCCCGACAGAAGAGCAGCAAACGCCTGTTCCTAATGGAATCGAGAAAGACAGTTTACAAAACTCACATATTGCTTACTCAAGGACAGCAGGAGTGCAAAGAAATTGAAGTGTATCTTGATGTAAGTTGCACTAATTTTATAAAGAATCCTGAATCTTCTTATTTATTAATCTAATATATAAATATCTCGTATGTGTGTTCGTGTGGTGTTTGTGGTTGCACTCCTCCGAAACGGCTCGACCGATTTTAATAATTTCTGTTTTGTATATTTAGTAGGTATGAGAATAGGTCGTAAAGCTTTTTTCACCCTTCTGCCCCACCTCATTTTTTAATTGTGATTTTAGTATTTTCTATGAACAATATTATATAAATAATAACTATATTGTATAACATAAGACCAAAGAGTTTTTTGTGTAGATTGAACGCGAGCGTAGCCGCGGTTTCTGCCAGTAATATCTAATATTGATAATAATTGTACATATACAATTTACTCCGAACTCCGAAATTATTACAATAATTAAACCTGACGATTAATTAAATTTTAATTGTACATATATATATTATTATTATATTTTATACCACAGGACGAAATCCGCGACAAGTTAACCCCAATAGAAGTGAAGATGACGTACGAGCTGACAGAGCAGGCGTCGGGCGCCGCCGTGCCGCCCGTGCTCGACCGCACGCGCAGCATCGAACGCACCGACTCTCTCAACATACAGAAGAACTGTGGGCCCGATAACGTGTGCATACCCGACCTTAAGATGTTTGTTACTACGTAAGTAAACATTTCTGTTGAAATTGTAAATGTGAATTCGGTTATTTGTTTGTCCTTATTTTTCGCAGCAATGGAGAAAAAGATAGAATTATTTTTTTTATTAAGTTTATACGACAAAGAATGTCACTTATGCCAGCTAGAAAAAAATTGTCACTCAGTACACCTAGCCCATTTGAAATATTTTCAAATTGTTATCTTAATACGCAGTAACAATGTTGCCCTTTGCAGAGTTTGATATATCGAATTTGTTTATTAGTTTGTTTGTGTATTAGATAGCCCGTTTATTTAGGAAGGGTACCTATAGGCTACATTATATCATCATGCTCGGGCAGACTTCCAATATATTATTGGAACGGTAAGAGAAAGAAGAGTTTTTTTTGTGCGAAGTTGAAGCGGGTTCTGCTATTAGATAATAAGAAAAAAAGCGGAAGCGAAAGCGGTTTAAGTTACTTCGTCTATGAATATTATGTTGTGAAAGTCATTTAAAAACTCACTTCTTTTGCAGACCAACTGTAAACTATGTTCTGGGATCAGGCGAAAATGTTCACATTGATGTCAAAGTTGAAAACTCCGGAGAGGACGCATTCGAAGCCGGGTACTATCTACAAATACCCGCCGGAGTCACTTACGCTAAGATGGAGAGGTTGGATAAAGCAAATGCGGACGTAACTCCGATCTACTGCTCTATTAAGAACAAAGGATCCAGTGGAAATAGTACTTTGAAATGCGATTTGGGAAATCCTTTGGCCAGTGGACAAAATGTAAGTATATATTATAATAAATAAGTGTAAAAGTGACTTGGATTTTTAAAAGGTTTAGGAAAAATTGGCGTCATGCAATACCTACTTCTCAATTTGGATATATCTTTGATTATATGTTTAAATCCACTGCATGTGCAATAGCATTATAATAATATTTCATCGCTAGCCACTCACCCTCGCTTTACTCGGGTTATCTGTATAAAAACAAAAATAAATCTGGGATAGATTTATCGGATCGGGAACCGTACATTTCTCCGGGATAAAAAGTAACCTATGTGCTATTCCAAACTATAATCTATGTCGGTGCCAAATTTCATCCAGATCATTTAGTCGTTCCGGCGTGATTGAGTAACAAACATCCATCCACCCGAACCTTCGCATTTATAATATTAATGGAATTAATAAACTTGATATTTTTATAATAATGAACATATATTCTTTTAATACAGATAAACTTCAGGGTGATCGTGGAAGTGGACGCTCGCGTCACGACCCTCGACTTCGACATGGAAGTGAACTCCACCAACCCCGAGCAAGGCACTCAGTTCGACAACAAGCGGCACTTGGGTATCGGCGTGGTGGTGAAAGCCGTACTGTCTATTATTGGGTAAGATTGGTGATTAAAAATCAAATTTTAATCTATACATATAATAAAATTGTAACTAAACCGAATCTGTACATTAAATATTTTTTGGAAAATATTATTGAAATAGACATTATTATCGATACAGAAGCAGAATTTATAGTTTTTAGAATTTTTGTCTGTCTGTCTGTCTGTTACCGCATCACGGAAAAACCACTGGGGGGATTTTGATGAAATTTGGTATGATTGTAACTGGTTATCCGGGTCAACTTATAGAATACTTTTTATTGCGGGAAAATGTCTCATTTCTCAGAAAAAATATAAAAACTGCAATGTAAGAGTATACTAATATGTAAAACCTAAGAATTTGGTTTTTGGTCATCTGAACGCGGGCGGAGCCGCAGGCAATGCTAGTCTCTTATAATTCTAAAATCCATATATAAAATTGACACTATTGTCGATTAAATTATTATATTTTTTAAACTTTATGTAGCATTTACATACTTTACATGGAGTCGTAATTATTTTATTATTCGTTTTTACTTTTTACCTACTACTTTATCACTATCTTATATAGAAGGAAAAAAAGGATTGAAAATTGAGGTATTAATTTTAATATAACTAAAAAATTGTTTTATAGAACATCAGATCCACCAGAACTCCATTACAATGCATCTCTCTACGATGCTCAAAACCTCAAAGACGACACAAAGCTCGGACCGCAAGTTATCCACAAGTACAATATAAAGAACGAAGGACCTTTCACCGTAGAAGAAGCTGAACTATACATAATGTGGCCATATCAAACTCTGACTGGTGAGATATCAGCTCATATTTTATATTTTAGAAAAAAATATTTTTAATGAAATAAAATCATAAGAGAATCTATTTTAGTGAACTGCAATTTTAATAGAATTTAACAGATTTGAAGCAGTAAAATACTAATCATTATTATATTTGAAGCAGATTGTCAGATATACCAAATAAGCAATTTTTGATAATAAATTATTATTTGATATTTTAAATAAAACTATAAAAATGTTTAAAATTAAAATTAACAATTAATATTATGTACTTTACGGCAATTTTAAATTTGTTGAATTCATTTTGTTATTTTGGTTAGGCTGTCTGTAACAACTAAATAATGCCTTTGAAACATCTAAAACCTTAGTTTTCCCGTGACCATGATTACTGTAAAGCATTCGAAATGTCGAGAACCAAAAATCAAAATACGTCCGCAAAGATAGTTTTATTTAAAATGATAAATTATCAATTACTTAATATATAAGAATAATTATATTACATAAACATTTTCAGGGGAAAACCTGATGTACATGCTGGTGCAGCCGCAGTGGCTCGGCGACATGGTGTGCGACGTCGCGCGGCATGTCAACCCGGAGAGCCTCTTCGTGCAGAATCCTTACTCATTCTTACTTTCAAAGGAAAAAGAAGGTTGGTTTTGCTTAAATTATTGGTAAAATAGACGAAATTTTGAATTTGTATACTTGGTTGTTTGACTTGATAATCAGGCGTAGTGAATGCTATCGGCAAAAGTCCATTTGGTCTAAAGTTCGAGTCCGGAGTCACGACACAGATTTTAATATTTTCTGTCAAAAAATGCAGTGGTCGTAAATTGCCGAGACTTATTATGATATTAAAGGAATATACTTATACAGAGAGAGGGTATTTATAAACATTACACTACATAAATACACCCACACATACACACAATACAGTATATTTTGTGTACATATATAGCTAATGTAAATAATATTAATTGACATGCATTAATTTGTACGAGGATGATATTATTAAATTATATTATAATATATTCAAAATGCAATGTTTATTTTATATTTATTGGATCTTACATTTGTTGTGGTTTATTCGATTAATAATATCGGAAGTGATGTATGTATTTGATTTTGATGAACCTATAATATATTTTTCAGCATTGAAGAGTAGCGATCTCTACACAGCATCCCAAGTAGGAGGAGGCGGAGGATATTATGGCCAACGTAAGTTCTTATTCCTTAAAATAGGTGAAAAATTGAACAGTTATTTTTATATAAATTATACATGTTGAACATATAAATAATGGGTATAAACATAAATATGTTGGACCATTAACACACTGCACCATCGGGTTCCATGGTAAGCTATTATTATGTTATGGAGACCAGATAGTACACATATATAGCTTAAAATACATACATATTATAAATATAAACATTCATGACTGGAGTACAACATTCGTGCTCATCACACAAATGAATGCCCCTCAGCGGGACTAAGACCCGCGACTGCTCGCACAATAAATTGGGTCACTACAAACTGAGCCACACGTGTTGTCAAAGGTGTACTATTAAATAGATTAATCTTAATACTAAGAGTATATTTTCAAATTTAGTTATTTTATCAATGACTGGACTTTACGAAAATTCCAAATTTAAAGGTTTAAAAATATTTTACGCGCCTTGAATATTTAGTTTTAAATACTCACGTATTGTAAGGTGAATTTATAGATGCAATATTATTAGTTATTCTTGTTACAGATTATTGGGAAGAAAAGTATGCGGATAATGGTCAAGTAAATGTTCAATCTGGCGGTGGTCAAATGGGTGGAGGACAATACGGTCAAGCAAGTGGAGGTCAGTACGGCCGAGGCTCTGGTGGTGTTTATGGATCTGGCCAATCTAGTGGTGGACAGATTAGTGGAAGCCAAGAAAGTAACAGACAATTTGGCAGTAGTTACGTTGGTGGTAGTCAAGTAGCTGGCGGTCAGTTCAGCACAAGTCATGTCAGTGGTAGTACAAGTCAAAGTAGTGGTGGTCAAGTAGCTGGTGGACAGTATAACACCAATCAGGCAAGTGGTGGTCAAGTCTCCAATGGACAATACGGAACCCATGTTAGCGGAGGAGGATATGGTAGTCAAGTTTCTGGTGGCCAATACGGTACAGGCCAAGTTGCTGACGGTCAGGGATCTGGTACCGTGTACACTTATAACCGAACTTGGTCTAGTGGTGAAGAAGGGTTAACAGTGGAACAACAGGAAGCTATCAGAAGAAATCTTGCAGCGTTGGCATCATCAAACCAAGGTTCAAACCGTGGTTTCGCTCAAGGTTCTACCCAAGGGGGTCAAGTTACTTTCACACAAAATGGTCAAAGTAGCTATGGTCAAAGTGGTCATGCTCAAGGAAGTCAAAGCGGGTATGGTCAAAGTGGCCAAGGATATAGTCAAAGTGGTTATCAAGGCCAAGGTCATGTCCAAACTGGCCAAGGTTACGGTGGTCAAACTGTTATCGTTCAAGGTGGTGTGGGCGGTTTTGAAGGCAATCAAGATGGTCGCATCGTTCGAGTTAAGAATAGGACTATTGTTTATGACTCAAATCATAATATTATATCTCAGACTGAAACAAGTACTGAATATGGTTCACTTGGACATGAAGGCGAAGCTGGCAGTTCCTTTAATGCGTAAGTATTTATAAATTCAAAAGATGAACGCTTAAAAAACAATATTTTATGTTATTATATTGCATTACTTACTTAGAAAAAATGAACAAATTAATTATGGATCTTATTTTTCAGCTATCTCAACAACCAAGGTGGTATCCAACAAAATTACGGTTCAGGGTCAAATTCTGTAGGACAAGGCGGCTTTATCCATGGGTCATGGGGAACGACGGAGACTATCAATCCAGATATCATGAACGCTGGTTCCAATACATTCAGAGGTGGACCAAGTGTTACCGTTGTTGGTGATGAGGAAGAAGATAGATTAGAAGGTTTTGGGGTTTATGCTGCGCAGAATTCTAATAATGAATTTAAATATGGAATTGCTGATGTGACCAATAGTCAAGGGTCTGGAGTTCATAGTGGAAGTCAAGGTCAAGGCTTCCAGAGTGGTCAGCAAAATGGTGGTTTCCATAGTGGTGGCTATCAAAGTGGAATGCAACAAGGCGGAGCTTACCAAGGAGGTGCATCTGCATCTTATGGTGGCGGCAGTGGTACTTCCTACTCATACTCTTCACAATCAGGTAATATATTGCAGAGTATTATTGATGACGTTAGTTTAGCTTGGCTGGAGTCAATAGGTACTAATTTACATATTAATTTTGACAGGTGGCCACAGATCTTATTCGTCGGGAGGCGGCAGTTTTAGTTCAACTTCGCAACAAAGACGTGACAGCACTAGGCGGCGTCGTCAAGATGAGGTAAAATATTGATTAGAAAGATTTCCTTTACTTTTAAAACCGCTTTAATTTTTTAACTTAAAATCTTGATCTTAGTAACATTGATGTTAAATTTGATAAAATGTGGTATTTATTTATTATATTAACTTAAAATATTTTTACGTTATATTGTTATACAACCTAACATGATATAAATATAATATTATATATACCAATTACATCAACAGGTGGACCCTCAATTAAAGGAAATGCTAGAGAAATGCGAAGAGAAGTACAAATGCGAGGTGGTGCGATGCCGCACCGGCCGCCTCGTGCGCGGGCAGGAAGTGTGGGTCGCGCTGCGCTCGCGCATCAATGCTTCTGTACTTAATGAGGTGAGCTACGTTATAATTTTTGTTACTATTTAAATTAATTAAGTATTTATATATAACATGTTCTATTTTGCCTATAAGGAGATTTGTAAGAGTGGGATCTTGAAATCGATATATCGAGTGACGTCTAATGTAGGTATCATCTGGAGAAAAAATCCATAATGGCTTGTTAAAAATACGAGAATGCTTAAAAAACATAGCAGTACTTAACTTCATAAAGCTCAGATTCGTGATCTTTTGGAGTGTCTTAATAGAGGCAGTGTTAATGATCCCTCAATCCCAGATGATCAAGAACCTTTAAGCTTTCGGAGAGAGATTGATCCTCTGTGTGTTTTCTGCCGTCTGTACAATGAAGAGTATTCTGATGAACTTTTTGTTTTATTCTTAGCTTATAATCTTTAGGCGTGCTAGTAAAGTACAGCAATAATGAGCTTAAAATTGGCTTATTTTTATAATGTAAAGAAAGAAACAGGAAAAGCAAATTAAACGTTTATTTACACATGCTCACAGATCTCTCAAGAGCGCGCAGTGAAGCTGTCGTCGCTGACGGCGACGCGCGTGTCGCGGCTGCCGATGGTGGGGCGCCCTGCGGAGCGCGGCTGGCACGTGGCGGAGGCGGTGACGCTCGTCACGCCGCAGCTGGAGGCGCTGGAGAGCGGCGCCATACCGCTGTGGGTCATCATCCTTGCAGCGGTCGTTGGCGCTTTATTGCTACTCTTGCTTATCTTCGCTTTATATAAGGTGGGTTGATATTTACTTACATTAACATTAAATATTTCAATACGATATAGTATTATCGTCGCCACGGATTTCTTTTCAATCCGGATTTGTTTTGTTTTTTTTGGTAATAAAATTTTGTAGGCCTAATACACATATAATTCATAATTATTGATTATATTGACTAAAATTACCTACTGGATTAAAAAGATATACCTATTAGAATTTAGAGATTTATTAAATTAACAAATCGATCATATATCTAGATGACATATTATGATGCATTGAAAAAAAAACGCTTTATACTTAATATTTTAACAATAACTTAACTTTTATTATTAATTTTGCAGTGTGGCTTCTTCAAGCGTAACCGCCCCTCCGACCACACCGAGCGACAACCCTTAAACGGTCGCGACGAACATCTTTGATATCCAACTACCGACCTCGGCCTCGTCAGTGACGTCACGTCTGACGTTGACGCCACCTCTGACGTTGACGCCGATTCTGACGTACACGCCACCTCTGACGTCAACGCCACCTCAGATATCGACACGACCTCGGGCTCTACTGACGCCGCTAGTGACATCACTAGTCAAAACTCGACTAGCATTGACAGATATTGAAGTCAAAAAACTTTTTAATCGATATTCTAATGGATTTTAAATCGAATCTCATCCGTTATTGATATTGTTCCAATATAAATAAAATTTACAATCTGTGGTGAGAATAGACGTTATAGAGTGCGGCCATAAATATTTTTAATGGTTGATTATTTTATACATTAACTTTTAATGGGGCACAGAAAAAGCCTTTAAATTAATTGTATATATCAATAGAGAAACAATATAAGTGCCTCATGAGATATCGTCTATATAAAGAACTTTAAGCATTTTTAATTGAAAAATGTTCTAAGGTCGATCAAATATATGAAATAACTAGTCACGATAATAAAACGTGAATGACGTTAGTATTTACGCCATTTTACGTAGAAAGAAAAAATAAAAAAATATATAAAAAATTACTAAGTGTAACATTGTATTAGGGCAGCTACACATGTTTTTTTAAATAATAATTTTATATTAATATTCACAAAAAATGAATATTTTCGATACTATTTATCTGAAATATATAATAGTCTCTAACTTATGCTAACTGCCATTTATCTTTCCGTGCGAAGTTGCCCTTAAATATATGACTCTATGGTTGGTCGAAAGCGTTGTATCAAAAATTTCAATAAAAATATTGTATATATTATGAATTTACGATATTTAAGTGCGGGTTTGAACCCCGCGGAGGATTTTTGATATGAAAATATTATGTTTCAAGTGTAACTAAAAACAATATATGGATGAGTGTTGTAAAATGTGATTTATATTATTTAGGATTATTTCTCAATTACGAAGCTATTTAATTTGAATTAACGTTTCGCCACTAATTGAAATCACTGTCAGTAAATAGTAACTTAGAAGGCATATCGTAGGCTTTGGATTGACCAATATTAATAAATGTACATAATATGTGCGTGTTTAAGAGTTAGTGCCTTTATAATGCAACTATATAAATATTAGAGGTCTGTCTCGTCTGTTTGTATTAATATAAAATATTTAAATTAAACACGGACAAAACCAAGGAGAATAGCTAGTTTTAAATGAAACATATCTAAATTATGAATGTAGGTCGCTTTGGTGTTTTATCATCACATTAAAAGATAAGCAATATTAGGCTTCGTTCTGTAGTTAGGGTTGGCGCACACTATCGACTTGCACAATTATTTTATTGCTCATTGAGAAGGTAAATATATAAAATTGTTATTTTAAATAACAAATGCTTTATGTATTACTGGATATCAAAAATCAATTCTTAATGAAGATTTTTTACAAAATATTTCTTATTTTTTTTAAAATAAATCAACAGTAACATGTTTGAATGTTATGCAAGTATTTACCAGAAAATAAAATTTAAGAATTTTAAGATAAATTATAAGTCATATCATAATAAATATTGTCAATAAGTATTAGAAGTTGTGCTTTTAAGTGCCTAATTTTAAATATAATGCCTTACGAACGCGTGCCTTCTGATAACTGCCAATTACTAATTCAATTTATTAATGTAAATATTTAGACATGAATTTGTAACATTTTTTCACAGAATATAAGAAGAATTAAGAAAATATTACGTTTTTACTTGATTACGTACTTAATAATGTTAAGAATGTGTAAAAATTAGAAAATTTGGATCGATATAATTGAAGCTTTGCTTTTGCACAGTATTTACGATAAGAATAAGAAAGTATGAAGTAAAAAGTAAAAAAGCTTTATGCATATTTTAAAAAAAAAAGCTTTTAGTTAAAACATGCTTTATCTTAGAAACTAATATCAAAGGGATAGGTAAAGACATATCTACACTTCATAAACCAATTTGAGCCAAAACAGAGATAATAGTTTTAAAATTAAGGCTAAAAATCTATTTAAAACTATGCAAAATTAATTTAATAATGTTAGTGTGTATTAATAATGTTTTTTTAATCAAAATTCGAAAAAGAAAGTGTTAAGTATCACTTTATAAAAAAATATAGTGAAAAAATATATTTAAAATAAAATAATATAATTTTTTAATCAAAATTCGAAAAAGAAAGTGTTAAGTATCACTTTATAAAAAAATATAGTGAAAAAATATATTTAAAATAAAATAAATTTGTTTTAACATTACGTATATTATCTGTCAAATTTGAGTTAGTAATACAATCCGCCAAAAAGTAAAGCAATAAAATTCTGTGAAAAAATGTGTTTAAGAAAAGATATTAGCGCTAGCAACATTTGTTAATTTTTATTATTAATTATTTATTTCTAATTTCGTCCTAAGAATTCCGCTTTTACTTATAAGTTAATGAACTAAACTGTGGATGCCATAATATTTTTGTATGTATCATACATTTTGGTTGTTTGTCTGGTGGTAATACGCATTTACCAAAAAAAAAAATTATAATACACTTTTTGTTTTACACTATCTTGTTTTATTTTAACTATCGTCATATATCTTTAGGAAATAATTTTATGAATGGGAAAATCGTCTTATATGACCCCTTAATGCTTTAAGTAATATTGGCGCAATATAACACAAAATATATTGCATTTTCTATATAATTTCGTAATTCGAGTGACTTAATTTAAAACTAAGCAAATGTATGCACTTCCGGACTATTTGCGCCAATAGTAAAACTACATAATTTTTATACCTACCCGCTTCCTTTTTTATGGACACCTGTAATTTGAAGGGTCATCATACACAGATAGTAAACCCGTGCGCACCTGTTATAATTTGCATGGAACGTTCGAGTGCCTCGTGATGTGTGCCCTCATGAGTACCATCACCGCCATCGCCATCTAACCGCTGCCATTATCCTCATTGACGCTGAAGCTGAGACCTGTCGCAGAACTCCAGCAAGGTAGGCGTGCTTTTTATTACCGCTGTCCACGCCCAAAACCATCCTTTAATTCTCTCTCTTATATACAGAGTCCACTTAAAATTTTACTCTTACTTAGAACCAGCCCTTTACCGCATACCGCCGCCCAACAGCGGCAGTCTCTTTGAGATCAGCTATTTGTAAACGATATTTTGTTATATATGATAAAGCCATTATCTTTTGCTTGACAAAAAACACAAACGAGCATCAGACAGAGAGATAAGTTAATAGCTAGGATCGGGTTTTATATTATAGCTACTGATTTTTTTTAAACCATAATCCTTTTGTCCAACTCGGAATTCAAATCCAGAAACTCGATGTTCCTACAAGCGAACCATAAGCCAACGGGGCAATAGAAATACATGTGATGTAACTTAAGGAGCTACCTATTAATAAATCAAATTATATCCCACAAAACACTAACTTAAATATACTAAAATTGAAGCCTTTAAAGAACATTCTAATTAAACGAACTTCTAGTTCGACTCTACACCATTAAGTAAAGATCGCAGTCTGACGTTTTCGACTTGTTTTCGATTACTGGCTCCGGAGATAAACTGACGTCCACAGCCAACCGATTAAATTAGCTCGCTAAGTAGCGTTCGCAAGAAAATGAAAAAATAAAATAATTTTGTTTTTTTTGCAAAGTATATTAATAGATCAATGAATTATAATTTATTTGTAATACATTTAGGCAGTCTTTTTTCTTTAATTTTTCTTATTTATTTTTTTGGTTTTTAAAAGAAATTCGTGACAGGCAGGTACTGTTGTCATCACTTTTTTCTTTGGAAAAACTGTGTTCGTAAAGAGCATAAGATAAGCAGCGGTAGTCCATTGGTCCGTTGAGAAAGTGGGTTCAAATTTCAGATCACGCGTCTCTGATATGCACATTGCACATATGCGAGTAATTTTCAACATGATTACGAACGCCTTACAGTGAAAAAACCTCGTGAGGAAACTTAAGTGCCTGAGAAAACATAGTAAGTTATCAAAAGACGTATGAAGTCCGGCAACCTGCACTTGGCCAGATTAGTGGTTATGGCCTGATTCATTTCACTTCTAGGGAAAGTCCGTGCTCACCGCACCGCACCGCCCGTAGGGCGTTCAAAAAAGGGATGAATACAATCGAGATAAATCAAATCTGTATGAAAAATCACATAGCTAAAAACAAGTGTGATTTTAATCGTAATTTAACCTAAAATTAAAAATGTATATGTTTTTCGCAACCTTACACTAACGAAATACGTAAATCTTAGTTCGCGTCTGTCGGTCTAATCGACCTTAGCTCTGCGGAAATGACTCCATCTTGGCGCCCGAGCGTTTATCATTTGGTTTGTTTATTGGCTGTCTTATCGAAAATTAATGTAATTAACCTTTAACAACGAGTTTTCTATTTGTCGCGGAAAATGAGTTGTATGTATGTTGGAACATTGATTACCTTCGAGAAAATGGTTTGAGGTTTCATTAGTTTTTATAAAATTGTCCACATTTTGTCACATAATTGTTTTTATTTGGTTAAAGATGTACAAGATAGGACATTCTACGATATACGATTCTACATACTGCATCTTCCCCCTCATATAACCTATAGGTAGCTTTTTAAATACAACACTTGCTGACTTTTCAAGAATCAGTGAGAAGTGTCACTTTCTCCTGATTCTTCCATAGTGTACAATACAAATTAACAAAAAAAAATTCTTTTAACAAAAACATCAATTAAAATATGTATATATTTTTCATGTCATCCATATTCTACCGACATCTGCCAGTAATAATAAAGAATTAATGCTCAATACAATTTAATGAGGGAAATCACACTCGAAACAGTAATTCTAATTACTTAATTTAGGAGTAAGTTCTCACACACCGATCATACTTCCACACTCAATATCAAAACATAACTCTGATCAACCAACATATCTCCAATGAACGTCATGATGGCGTCTCGACCCCACTCGAGAC